CAGAAATGCAGTTTTGAAATTCTGATCTGCTGAAACATTCCACAAACCTCTGTTTGACCTCATGGAAAAGGGGGAAAAAAGCCAAAACCAGTTGAATGAGTGGTAGATTATTTACCTATTTGGCTTTTTTGTTTCAAAATAGGGTTTCTTTCTTCTTTAATTACATTGCTGTCCATAAAATTTTGCATGTTTCTTTTTCTTGTAAAGTGAGAGCTAGATCTTCATTCTAAATAAAGCTTTATGCAGACCAGACTTTCCCTACTAAATCAGAGCTGTCTTACTTGTCAAGCTCTGCCGTTTCATTTTGGTTTTATTTACTTAGAATTTTTCCCTTTTTGTTTGAGGGCACACTTGGCAAAGCAGAGAACCTGTGCCCTTGCCGTGGTCAGGCGGCCTCTTCCCTTCCTGCAAATCATTCTGGTATAGCCCAATCTGCACTTCCAACCTGTAAGAGCTACTTGCATAATTCACGATATTGAAGTAGACAAACTTCTCTACGTATTCAGTTGTTGTCCACTTTCAGCACTGATTTATGTTAATGATATAAGTGTTAAGCAGTGTGTTTTTGTAGTACAGGACACACATCTTCCTGCCAAAAACCTCAGATTAGCAGAGCCACCTCAAAAGTCAGGTCCTGATGTGCAAGAAGATACAGGTTTTGGTCATGTGTCCTCCATCAGGTTAGCTTAATACAGTTTAAAAGCTTGTTTAGTAGCTAAGGTAGTCAAAAAGCTGCTTAATACAGTTTAAAAGCTTGTTTAGTAATTGTTAAAATGCAAGCTAAGGTAGTCAAAAAGCCATTATCTGGGAACATGGTGGTTTAGGCAATAGATGCCAGAATCTTTCAAAAGTCTTTTCCCTGTGAGCATGTAAACCTATACAGAAGAAAATTTGAAGCACCTGTCTTAGATGTGAGCAAAAGTGTGTCTGTCTGCAATTTTCACCCATTCCCCTTCCCCGGTTTCCTCTCTAAATATTCTGCATAGGTCTTTCCAGTTTGTGTGAATGGTGCCCCTATTCCCTGAAAGCCTTTGGTGGTAATTCTGATTGATCACATCGACTACAAAGGGCTGAACTGGCCAACTGCAACAAGAGTTTCTGAACTTGCCAACAGTCAGTCATCAACTCCAAATCACCTCAGAGCAGTGAAAGCTTTTTATAGATTTGTCTCCCTCACCCCCACCCTTCTAGCTTTATTCAACACAGAGTTAAAATCTTAAATTTTAACTTAACCCAAGGGGGAAGGGAGCTGCAGACGTAATGATTTGCATTGCTAATTTTATGAAAACTTCAAGGACAAGAGCTGAAAGATCAGACCAAAACACCAGCTTAATTACATATTCATTGGAAAGTCCTGTAGTCTATTCTCACTGCTTCCAAAATACTACAGTACAATATCACTCTACAGACCTTCACACTGAGGTATTTGCATGCCAGTAACAGAACTCTATATAACACTCTTGTGGTTTGCACATAAAAATATCAGTTGAAAACTGTAGTTTCAATTTTAACTGATTTGAAGGCTTGTTGTAGTTCTGAGTCTCTCTTCATACAGGTTGAACAAGTTACTACTCATCTGTTTGCTAATATTATGATTTTATTATTAATCAGATATTACAGCATTTGGCTGCTTTCCAATTGATTTGAATGACACGTTCTCCTTCAGTGTTAATTAGGTGCGAGCTCCAAGATCTAAAAGATAAGAGAATAATACTTTGGTACATTTCCTCTAAAATGCCTTTTATGTGATTTATTAGCTACACAGAGATTTCAACCAGAAACATGAAATAGTTCTAACTTGTAAAGTATTGGAATTTTAGGTCTCTGAATGCTTTTTCTTCATAAGCTTCCTGCATTTAGAACTTGAAAAATAAATTATCTAACCATTATCTGGGAATTTATATATTTCAATTATATTTACATAAAAGGAAAACACCCTGTTCAGCTCATTAAAAAAAAAAATTATTTGTCACTTTCTCAGCATTAGAGATCTGTTGGGATAAACCAGAGACACCATGTTGGATCAGAGCTGGTCTGGCAAAGCCCATCGGCTTTCTCTCTCCATCCCCAGTAGCTTAAGGAAAAGGTTTAAGGAAGGAGGAAGCCTACAGTAAATTTCTCTCTTTATTCCCTGAAGACACATCCGGATTTTCTCTCACACTGTAGCTTCAGTTTCCCCACTCTGCCAGTCCAGGACAGTTAACTAGTCTAGTGGAAACACTTGTAGAAGCTTTCAGAGATAATAGTGAAAAAAAACCCCAAAGACTAGTTTTAAACTGAAAATATTATCAGTTAATCTTTTAATTCTTGCTACTATTAAATTTAGAAGAATATAATGCATTCTGAATACAGTTAGATGATTATAAAGCTTCCCTATGTCAGTATAGCTTGTACCTGTAAAATAATATTTATCAGTGTAATGGTAGTAACAATATGGTTTAGAACATTTTCTATGTTTCAAGAGAAAAATCACATAATTAAAACAGTTGAAACAGGATAAAAGTTGTGCACTGATGACACCAAAGATTTCTCTAATGGGGAATGGCCTATGCCAAATTTTGCAGACGCTGTGATGTAATTACACTGTAAAAAAAAAAATTATGGAGAAAAATGTGTAGAATTTCCAAGCCAGTGGAAATACCTGAATGTGCTTATCTCCTTCTTCTCTCCAGCACTATATTATTATTATTTCAAAAAGCAGTTTATGTTACAACACCTTAAAGTTTAGAAACCACATTCATTTCTATTCAGGATGTAGGAGAACAAAGTATAATTGCTTTCCTTTACAGACAAGGCTCAGCCTGAGGTGAATAGGATTTACGACCCTCCCCTAACTTCCGCATTTTCTATTTGCTGATTTTGGTGATTGCCTCAACAGGTTGATTGTTGACCACAAAAAGAGTAGGCTGCAGTGGGAGTGCAAAATGAGGGTAAATACGCTTTTTGCCTCTCTGAATGTGGGTTTTGAGCCACCAAGGGCAGCCAGGGAACATGCTTGAGAAGAAGGGAGCGGGGTCCTGCAGACATGTACCTGTTGCACCGTGACCCCCGTTCGTAGGTATCTAATGCTCCCTGTGCCTTGCAGTGGGTGCCGAGGTGTCTTAGTGCCACAGACCTGGCTGGGGCGGGAGGGCAAATGTTGCCTCCACGGATCCAGTCTCAGGCGTTGCGTATCACAGGCAGAAAGTGCCTATCTGTGATTGTATCTGAGAAGTTTGCTGTGTCTGTCAGCTTTCTGATGCCCTTATCCCTGTAACACCATGGTGAGTGCCTTCAAGCTGAAGCAGAGGGCAGCTTTGAATAGATTTTGATAAGGACCACGGAGGAATAAGTCAGTTCATCTGCTGAGCTGTCCCTCTGCATCTGGCAGCTGATTGCCTAATAAAACAGGGACTGCGGTGGCAATTTGTTGAAGACAAGTGTTCTAAGGCTTTCAAGAAATGCAAGGAAACAGGTTTCAAAAAGCCACCAATTAAAAGAGAAGTCGTCTGATTACTTGGGGTCTGAGGAAAGTTATGGCCTGAGATTGCTTATTTTGCTTCTCTATTAAATTCTGATTTCTCTAGGTGACAAAGCAGCTTCAGCTCACATTAATTTCAGTGTGGTTGAGAGTGATCAAATAGCTTAGGAAATAAGTTTAGTAGATTTTTGGGAATTTGATAGAAAACACAGAATCATACAGAGCCTAAATCATACTAGGGACTGTTTCTGTACTGTAACTCTTTCTGGTCTGTCAAGAAAAATGTCTGGCAGATTCTCCTATATCCATGACCCCTACACCTGTTCCTGCTATGATGCAGTAAAATCTTACTTCTTATTTAAACCTTTGATAGGTAATTTTCTATTTTTCTGTCTCTTCTGTACCGAGACAACATATGTGATGCTTAGTAGGGACCTTGGAAGTGGTGCCTTCCTTTGCTCAGAAGCTCCTGCCAAACAGAAGGAATGGAAATATTTCTACAGATAATTTATTTACCAGCCTATCCTTTCTCTCACTGTTTTTCTTTTACTTTGTCACTTCTCTTGAGAGTTCATTTGGAACCTCACAGTTCTGTTTTTTGAACAAGATCCCCTTCTTCATGGCACATGGAAAGCACAGAGCACCCCTCTACTTCTCCTTTGAGACCCAAAGACAGTATGAAAAGCATATCTGATTTTTAGTGCAAAGTATGCAAAATTACTCTACCCCCTCTTGATGGTGTTAACTGAATAAATTAACAAAAAATGCTTTGATTGGCTTTTGGATTGAGCAAACTGGAAACTACTGAAGAATTTATGGTTTTGTCTTGGTGATAGTTTTACTAGCATGAAAAAGTTGTGAATAAGCATGAATAAAGTCCAAAAGGAATATGTAAAACACACCACCCAACTGCTCACCCTTTGCAGGGGACATAGTGGGCGTCTGCAGACTTCACACATCATTTGCATTTATCACTTATACAATGGGGCAGCTTTATTTTTACACTGGAACAGATGTTTATGGGAATTTCATGCCTCTCATAATGTTTATTTGGCTGCCTTTCACCAAGGCTTCCGAGCTCTTTCTACATAAAATCAGTAGCAAAATCTAAGTCTGTACCAGTGTTTCTCTGCCTCTTCTACTTTGGTTTTGTTAGATGATTAACTCATTTTTTTTCTTAGATTTATTTTATTTTGAAATGTGACACCTATGGGTAGGCAGGTATCAAAGTTACAAAAGTTACAGGAAAAACTTTTCCCAAACACAACATAAGCAGGAGAATAAAACATTTGGGATGTTTAGAGGAGTCTACAAAACTTAGTCCAAATTCTTGAATTTTGTAGCAGTATAATATGCTATCTCTTCTTTTAAACTCTTATGCTGTTGTAGAAGCTTTATCAGAGATATAATTGGCTATGCTATAGAGTCGTTCAAAACATTTATTAAAAGATTACTATTTTTATGTTTTCAGTTATGATTAGTAAACCAAAGTTCCACTCACTTATTATCTTGTTGGGTTTTTTTTTGTCAAACAGGTGTGTTTTATGAAGTTGTTCAGAGCTTCCCTCGAGTGGAGGAAAATGCGCGAGTGAATTCACATGTAAACAGCCACAGGTGGAGAAGACACTCAGAGTCTCTCAAATCAGTCGACACCAACAGAGCTAGCATGGGGCAGGATTCCTCTGAGCCGGGGGGTTTCACAGACCTGCTGCTTGAAGAGGGACAGGACAACACCACCCAGATTGAGGTAGAAATTCAGTCCATCTATTTTTTTACTCAATTTGTTATCTTTGGTTGGGTGTAAGTAAAAAATGAAGACATTGACTTCAGTGTGCTCAAACATTGATAGGGGAAGAGAACTTCATGGTCTTTGTATTTGTGACCCTGTCAGCACATGGAAGCCAGCTTTTTCTCCTGGCCTGGGGCTGGAGCCTGTCCTGTCTGAAGGTAGTCTCTTGAGGATGTCTGTCTCTCCACTGGAAAGCGGTTATGGGAAGTCCCACGTTGTAGCAGTTCTTGCTGGAGAACTGGAAAATGAAGTAGTATTAAAAAAAATAAAATTTAATTATTTCTTAAAAGTTTGGGTAAGCACCTCCATTTGTGAGATTTTGCCTGGTCTTTATGGAGAGCAATATCCAGACATGAAGGGGAAAAGGCCCTAGAGATATAAGAAATTGGAAAAAATTCCAGCTTGGTCATTAAAAGAATTTGCCCGTACTATTTGATTGTTGATCTTCCAAAGAAGAATAACATGGATCAAATCATTCTAAATGAAATACTGGGACATCAAATCCATCTTAATGAAATCTTGGGACGTTCTCCCTCTGTTTTATGGTTTCATTCAACCTCTGATTGCTTGTTTAAAAAACTTTAACTGCCAGATTGCCCTCATATGGACGTAACATAAATCCAAGTGAGTACCAGTTCTGTCTTTAAAGCTGCTCTCAGTTTCAAGCAGTGTAAGGACAGCAGAAGTTTACCATAATGATATGTTGTGATTGATTGGCGCAAAATGTCTCCACCCATGATAATTTGTGGGAATTCTGCTGTTTTACCTTAGTGGTTCTACATAAACACACTGGCTGAACTGATTTTATCTTTATACACAGATAGCAAGTGTTAATATTATAATTATTGTATTTTTACTGATTTATTTTTTTTTAAGTATTAGGTTTGGGATTTTCTTATTAATAAAATCTACATCCTATCTTTCAATAAAATGCAGCTTGGAGTAAGCTATGCTTAACGTTTTCAGTCTTTATGCTCTGCTTCCAAAGCAACAGTGCTATTTATTTTTTCAGTTCTGAGGAGCTCACTCTCAGACAAACAAAACAGCTTTCAGATTTTGGGTTGTTATCTTGCACAATAACAAAAGCAAAGCAATATAAAACGCATCTGTAGAGACAATGGTGTCTCTATAGCATGAGTCAAAAAATAATAATGCTTTCTGAGAGGTGTGGTTTGTGTTTGTTGTTTTTTAAGCTTTCCAGTTTGCACAGTACTATGTTTCCTCTTGCATAAACATGGAAGTCGCTAGTTGGTAAATTATATTTTTGAATTGCATGTTGATCTTATGATTTGTTTTTTGCCCCCTGCAATCCCCATCTGGCCGTACTTGTCGTAATTCACTCAGGCATGACCCAGATTGATCCTTCTTCTAATTATTTTAGCAGGTGAAGTGGAAGATGTCTCAAATACAGGAAGGTTCACGTAGTTGATCTTTCCATGGCTTACCTGTAGATCTCCATGCAATGTCTCCATTCAGTTGAGTTCCAAGCTCTTACGAAGCAAAATGGGTCAGAGCTCCCCCTCTAACACTCATATATGCCAACATTCAGGAAAAAAAAGAATGCTTGCAAATGGACTTACGTAGAATGGTATTTTTCCAGTGCCATCTTTCCTGACAGATTAATGGCATTATAGCGTCTTAACCTCAAAAGTACATTACCCTTACTGAGTTTACTGAATTCAGGTTTTGTGTTCTGTCACAGCCCTCTCTTTTTCTAAAGTCTTCCCAGCACAATAACTGAGTTGTGGTTTTACACATTATCGGATTCTGTTGTAAATCTCTACTACAACACACAGGAATTTTACAAGAAAACCTTGATGCCCAGCTTTGTAGAGGAGGTAAAGAGTATAACAGATATTCACAGTGGAAGAATCCGTATGTCGCAAAGTCTTCTGCGGCTTGGGAGCTTATCGGTAGTGCTTGAGAGCATATTGATTTTTGAAACCCTTCTCTGTGTGTTGCAGTTCTTGCTGAAGAAAATCCAGAGAATGAGTACTACCTGCCACTCAAATTTAATGACACTACAGAATTACAACATCCCTCCATCACAGATACTGTTTCTCTTTAAAGTATTTGCTTGGCATTGCCATGCAAATGTGGAAGACTTCTTTTACTGGAAGGCTAACAGTGATGAACATATCTTTAATTTTCACTTGATACTGTTTTCTGTTCTTCTTTATAATGATGAGTTTACTTTCTGTCCAGCTTTAAAAAATCAAACGAAAACAAACACCCCCACCTCCCCCCAAAAAAACCAAACCAAATAAACAACCAAGGACAAAAGGGAAGGCAGTATGCAGAAATTTCTGCAGTTCAAAAATATCTCTTAATGTTTCCTGTGTTATCAAATCTATATAGTCATAATGTGGAAAATAATAAAATCAACCTGTGTGGAGCATAGCTTAGTCCCACTGGCTTTTCTTGATATTTTAAGGTAATGAGACTTTTCATTCATGTTTTTCCATTGGAGTTATTGGGAGTTGCTCTGTAACTTCACAGCAGCACCATCCTGGGTCTCCCATTGTCCCTAATACATAGGCTGTTTTAAGATCAACTTGAGTGGAACATGAAATTCAGGCCTTCTTGAACAGCTATAGAAAGTGAATTGTAAATCAGTTTATCACATCTTTGCTGTAGCCAGGGTAGGCCTGCTCCTATATGTAGGAAAGATGATAATGGCCAGATTCTCTTTAGAGATGCTGTCTCTCTGGTCCAAGAGCTGGAGCAGTGCAGCCACTAGGGATGCCAGGACATTTGCTGTCTCTCTTCACAGCTCTGTTTTGCCTCCTCCATTTGTTTGGCACTGTGATTCAGGACTCATGCAAAATGATGGCTGTATTCAGGTGCTTTTTTGAATAAAGATGTTCTTTTGAACTGGACTCTCTGGAAGTGGAACTGCATTGCAGAGACTAGCAGAAGCAGTGGCTATAGCCATTTGATGTGCAGAACCTTCAGAAATGAGCAGGGCCTTGGGGAAGGAGAAGACAAGACCTCCAAGTCCTATTGTGTTTCTGGAGAATAGGAATTTTGTGGTCCACAGGTGCAGTGTTGTGGCAGCACAAACCCACAAAACTGGAGATGCCAAGCGAAAGGCAAAGGACAGGAAGAACAGGTTTCTGCTGCAAGCCAGATTTTCTATGCGTGTAGCATTTGTGGTCTTTCTGGAGAGCTGATAGCAAGCTGGAGATTATAGGGTAAAATCAATGTATAACAAATGCTTACCATAAACGCTTTATAAAACAGTGTGACAATCTTGAAAATATTCCTCTCTTCTCCTAGTTTAGTAGGGTTATTATAATATGCAAGTTAGGGACTAGAATGTTGTAAATACAAAAAGGTTTTATTTGCATTTGCTTTATTTGCAGTGGGTACTTTAGAGCCCAAATACAGAGGAGGGAGAATATGTAAGTCTCTGGGGCCATACTCCGTAAGCGGTTTATTAAGGTTTCATTCCCACTACGTAACATAGCCAGAGAGAGTGAGCAAGCTCTGAAGAGGGACAGGTGTAAAAAGGGTGAGATCCCATCTTGTACAGATGGGCACAAATGTTACAGTCCTAGAGAAATCCTCAAAGCAGATAGCCTTGGGACAGGTGGAGAAATAGGTTGTCAGCAGTCCAAATTAACTGCAAGGTCAACCCCAAAAAGACAGTAGTGATGAAGTGCAACCGAATTGGCTTCTTGGCTTCATGGCAAATGAAAGCATCAAAAAGTCTCCCTTTGAAGATAGCAGCAACCATGGCTAAGACCTATCTATCTTGCAGAAACGTCAAGTGACAACTTTTTTTTTTTAAGATATATTATTAGTATAGTCTAACTTTCTATGTACTTTTTAAGGTTTTCTCTGTAGTTTGGCTTTCCGTTTGGTAATTAAGAATTTAACCTTTTGCCTTCCTAGGGAGGGTTTCCTGTTCTAAAAGATGGTTAGTTCATCGTGCTTAAGGAGAACTCAAATGAATTTGAAGTTTTTCTTCCCAAGGGTCGCAAAGCCAAACAATAAAGTCTTCTACCTGGAATAACTTCGGGGCTGTCAGAAGCTGAAGTGTTTCCCACTAAGCTAGAGGAATGTGTTTTTGAGTTTGGAAGCATCAGAATTGCATCCCGTATGCGCTAACTAACTAGTGCTCAGGACTGGCCAGTGCAATGGCAGCCTCCATGGTCCTGTGGGTGCCAGTCTGAGGGGGAAAATGCGTACCGCACTATAGTTACAGGGACCTCAAAGACAGAGAATATTGTGGGGCAGATTTGAGAAAGCAGGAGGGACATTCAAAAATGAAGTGCCATTTATATCAACAGGTCTTCTTTCTAGAGTGTTTGTTTCTTAAATTTCTGGGATTTCACAATCTAATAATTTCAAGTCTAGCTTTCCTTTTCTCCCATCTTTCTTGAGACTCTTTATTCTAGTCTTGGGGGTCAGGGTTGGTTTTTGTTTTTTTGTTGAGTAATCTACCACTTTTGTTTATTGTGCTCAGGACATTCAGAAGTGCCTTTTATTTAGAATAAATAGAGCCTAGGAAATGCAATGTGTAGGGTGAAATTTGTTGCTGCAAACACTGTAAGTCCTTGAAAAAGCAATGAGCGTGAAAATACGTCTTAACAAATATGTCTAGTTTGGCACGTCTTCTTTCAAGCAAGGAGAAAAATAGGATAAATATACTACCTTTCTTCATACACTGTCATAAAAGAAATGTATGCTCTATAATAACTCACTGTTATTAAGTCAATGGCTTTAAATGTATTAATATTGTTAAAATAAACTCAGATTCATGGTCATGGTATGACCGACCCTTCTGTTGATCCTCAAAGCACTGTAGCCATAAAGGCAATGAAGGCGGGTAGCAGAGGTTCTTGTTGCCTGTTGCAATTTTGCATTTACTGGAAAAGGAACTGATCCCCAAAATGCATCTAGTACGGATGTTGGGTCCTCAGTATCTACCACTAAGGTATCCACAAATGCAT